TCTTTCCTAACTCCTGTTGGACACATCTGTCCAACGATTTCATCGATCGCCCGTTAGCATCTGGCTGGGTTGGTCCAAAGCTAATGATCTCCCTTGCCACTCGTCCCATCGACTGTTTTTAATTGCCGCTCTCCTATCTCCTAACGTCCCATTAGCTCGTGAATGTCGCCTCCGCTAAAGGAACAACTAATATTTATTGAGCACTTGTAACGTGCTAGGCATTACATGCATAGTTTCATGTGATCCTCAAACCCTACCAGACAGGTACGATGGTCATTTTCTAAACTAGAGCCAGTCGGGATAGCAATTCTAAATTGAGCGATGGAATTCAACCCCTGTTCTGACTTCACAGCTAGCTTAACCAGCACACTCCAGTCAAAGGACCGAGGAATCATCCCTCCCTCGTGAATCACATCTGGTCACTTAACCTAGTCCAACCAATGGGACTTCCTAAATGCCACATCGTTTCTACCTCCGCTGCCTTCACACAGAATAACGAGGACCAAGTCCCTATGTGCCAAGCACCATTCTATGTACACACTTTTCCAAGTTTTATCCCCCAAACGCTATGAAATGAAGAACCGAAGGGAAAAAAACAGGTTACACAGTGAGTGAAGAGCCGGATTCAAACCCAGACTGTGTGACCTGAGAAGCCCTGAGTGCCTAACGCTCCTGCTTTGTCTCCCTACCTCCCATCTGGACCCCCACCATCTCCAGACTGCTGCAGATATCTCTGTGGAAAGCAAATGTTATCGTGACATTCTCCCGATGAAAATCAGCAGCTCTGTATCGCTGGCTGAATAAAGCCCAATTTTCTTAATCTGGCATTACCAAATCCTCCTTGTTTCTGTTCAGGTCAGTTCGATACATATTTGAGTGCCTGCTGTAAGCAAGGCAAAGTGCTAAGTGATCTGAAATGAACCATACAGCAGCCCCTGACTACTCTGCCAACCCGAGACTCGGTGAGCCTCAGCCAGAGGAACTGTGCAGATCTCATAACGCGACCAGGCTACGCGGCAGTACCTCCGCTCAGAATGTACCTGGCAAAATCCCGCACCGCCATTAAGAGCCAGTGCCGGTGTGAGGCTCCGGGCAGAACGGTTCTCTCTCTTAAGTTCCTGAAGCACTCTGTTCCGGTTGCTTTCAGGTAAGCCGGTGGAACAGAGGCATTGTCTGCTTCCAAATGAGACTATGACAACTCAGGCCAAGAGCTGACTCCTGCCACCCATGCGTGGCATGAAGCAGGCTCTCAACCACTTGCCGGATGAATAAATAATGAAAAACATCCAACCTGATGAGGAAGGGAGAGGAACAAGACGCAGAATTAGGAATGTGGACACCCAGGGGGGTCCGATAAAAAGCAGTGTTATTCTGCTTCGGTTCCGAGCTGACCTCCATTTTACCCCTATGGGAAAACTCACATGTGTCACTTGGACAAACTAAAAAGGAAAAACTTTGTTATTTATGGCTCAACAGAGCTTTGACAGGCCAAAAAGGTAACGAGAGCAAAGTCCACTTTCCAAAGGGGCGTGGAGATGGGAATCAAATCTACTAAAGTAAATAAAATTGATCTACTGAGATCCAGCTTCGCCAATGCCGCCTCGCAGTACACTCAAGGAAAAAAAAAAAAAAAAAAGACAACCCAAATCTGTCCTGGGACGAAGGCCAATTTACAAATAAGTACTACTGCCTGCAAGAATGGGAAATTCTTACAGTGAAGGCAGTTCCCATAAAACAAAACAGTGTCCGTCACTGCTTTTCACGCAACTTTCTTTCTGGTTCCTATGATTTAAAAAGACCCATCTACACAGTTAAGCCCAGGATGAGTGCACTGCAGCTCTTGGCAGATCCGGACGTCTTGACTGACAGCCTGAGATGTAAACTGAAATATCAGAAGAAACATTACAGGTAAGTAAAAAAAAAAAAAAAAAAATCCTTCGCCTCAAACATGGCACAAAGCTTTGCAAAGCGAGTGATGTAGTTTCTGAATGGTGCTTGGTGTGCGAGTGCTTCCAAAGCGAGCGCCAGATCCTGAAATCCCCCCTCGAAGAGGTCAAGCCTCTCTCCCCACCCTCGCTAGGCGAAGAGGGCAGGTGAGATGTACAGGCAACAGGCTGGGATGGAGGGGAGGATCCTCCGCGCCCCATTTCTTTCCAGGGAAACAAGATCCGATGCAAGACAGCTAGTGCCACTCTCACTCATGACAACGTACGCACAGG